AAAATTTTTTTTTGCTTTTCTGCCCATTTCAGGCATAACTACGTCGATTCCCGGAAAAAAATTTTTTATACGCCCTTATGGCTTTTCAAGGGTATTTTTTTCGAGATACGCCCTTGTGGCATCAGTAACGCGAATTATTGATCAAGTAAATTTTTGATTGTAACTACATTTTTAAGTGATTTAAAATTGGTGTACAAAAAGTCAAATAATCTTTAACAAATTATTATAAAAAAATTAATAATTTATAATTTTTTTTTTTTTTTTAAATACAAATTGTCAATCTTAGATCAGTTATCCAATTTTTTCATTTAAATTAAATTTTTTTTAATTTTAAAACCAAAAATTGTCTTTATTTTATCTTCGTTAATTTTTGAATTATTTATAAAAATTTTTATTGAAAAATCTACATTTTTTCTGCTGAATTTATAAAAAAATTGAATCGACAAAATTATGAAACATTACTGATTACTGATATGCTTAAATTCAATAAAATCTAAAAGATTGACCGGGGAAAAAAGACTCAAAAATTAATGAGGGTGTACACTGAATAATTAATTCGACAGTTACTACCCTTTAAATCTGAGTAACTTTTAATTAGACAGTTATCTGAGGTTAACGGTCAAATTAAGCGAATGTTAATGTTAGTTACGTGAACAGATAGCCAGTTTATAGTATACTAATACGGACTACGGTATCTGTAATAATTAAACTATACACGAGGCACGGGTGTACAAAAATACCAACCGGTCGTTTAATTGGTCAGAATTCTATCCTAGTCATATTAGAGCCGCCAAATTTCTCTTCCATTTATTCTTTCTAATATAATCTTTTACTAATACGAGGATGTTAGAAGTTGTCCAATCGATAACTCTGATCTCCGGTGGTCCTCGATCGCCGATTTTGTTCAATCGAGAAATCAAAGGAAATAATTATGCATGTATATTAAATACGTCAGAGCAAATATAAATAATATAATTAAAAATAATTTAACCGGGCATCGGAAGGATGAAGATAAAGTGGAAGACATGTGGAAAAAATTTGATAAAGTAAAAACGCTTCCGGCCTGGCATGGGAAACCAGATTTCCAGTTTTGTGGCCCAGATATATGCATGCGGGCTCTAATTGATCTGGTCCAGATGATGATAATTATTGCAAGATAATAAAGTTTTAATGATTATAAATTTATATTTATTAAATCCGGCGTTTTATTGTTTTACTCTATACGATTCCAAGAAATTGGCACTGATTATTTTTGAGCTCGTTAATTTTGTTTAAATTACTTTTTTTGGCTCATTGTACATCCGAGTACGATTTTAGTGGTTTGTTTTATTGAGACGTTCTCGAATGTTTATTGATGGTAATTACATCATTTTCTGAACAGTTAATTTTCAGTTCAGATAATAATAAAAATTTATATCTTTAACTGTAAATATTCAAATTCTGGGTTAAATATTAGAAATTGGATAAAATTATAAGGGATCTTTCCTGTAAATAATTTAATTCTCTACAAAAAAGGTCCTTATCAATTTTATCATATATTTAATATTTTGGTCAAAAATGAAAATTTTGCTTTGAGATATTTATTTGGAATTCATTTCAGAAATTTAGAATTTTTTAATTGAAGAGGAATTCGATTATGATTTTAAGGATTGAATTAAATTTTTTTTTAGCATGAATTAAATGTTTGAAATTATTGAAGTTTATTATAATAAAACAATTTTTTTTTGTAATTTACTAAAGAACAAAATTTGAAGAATTACAATGAAAATAACATTGCATAACTTAAAAATGGAACTTCTCGAAGAAATATTGAAAATAAGAAAAAATTATGTTAAATTTTTTTTTTAAGATAATTTGATTCTCTACAAAAAATGTCTTCATAAATTTTACTCTATCTTTAACCTATTTAGCAATCATTTTAAATTTAGAACCGTAAAATTTATTAAATTGATAAATAATCTTATTTTCAAAATTTTAACTTTCATTTTGGCCAATTTATTAAAAATAAGAAAAAACGATAAGAAACCTTTTTTGTAGGATATTTTATTCGATACAAAATAAGGATTTTATCAATTTTATCATTTTTTTAATATTTTGGTCAAAAATGAAAAAAAATCTTGAGAAATCAGGAAAATACATGTTTACAATTTTAAATCAAAATTCTGAATCAAATATCAATAATACGAAAAAAAAAAAAAATGACAAATAACTTTTTTGTAGAAAATTAAATTTTATATAAAAAAGTATCTATAAATTTTATTATATCGCGAATATTTTAGTCAAAATTTCCGAAAAAACTTAAGAAATCAGTAAACCATCCGTTTAAATTTTAAAATTAAAATTTTGGATTACGTATAAAATAATAATAATTTTTGTTATTATTTTAATATAATAAATAAATTTCATTATTTAAAAAATGATATCAACAAATTTTTTTTATTTTTACAAGTAGCATTTTTTATAAGTTCTTTCTATAATAATTTATTCGTTAAGGTCGATC